ACACATAGCCCTCCCCACTCACACATATATAATTTTTAAAACGGTAAGGGCTGGGGGTCCTGGGTACCTGGACTCTATACATCTCTTCTATATCAGTTAGAATTTTCATTTCCTTTTGGATAACTAGAGACTGAAAACCTACCACAAATTGGCTTAAATATACAGAGGACTTTATTGCCTATGTAAGTGTTCGTGGGCATCAGATAAGTTTTGAACCCATTGCTCAAATGATGTCATCATGGACTCAGTTTCTCTAGACTTTTCACTCTGCATTCCATAGTGTTTCTATCATTCACAGGCTCCATGTGCTGTCTTCCCCACCATTGCTATCCCCACAGACCCAAGATCTCTCCATGCGATGGAATAAAGCAACCTTGCAGATCTAGCCTTCATACCACTGAGCCACGTCATCCAGCAGAAGAGCATCTCTTCTTGTGAATCCACACAGCTCTGATGTCCACTCTGTCATTAGCCTGGCTAGGTCACGTGCCCACCTCTGAACCAGTCACATTGGGAAATGGGCTGTGCCAAGTGGCTTAAGCCAATCAGGGGCCACTTCTGTAAGTGGGTCAATTCCAAATTTACCAAAGAGAAAGAAGAGGGTAGAAATGATGCAATGATGCTGGGGAGGCACCACCAAGGACCGCGACCCCTTGCCCTCCACTCACCCATACCCTTAATGACGTTGACACCTGCAGGCAGAGACTTTGGAAAAAGGCGTTTATTGGTGTGGTGGTCTCAACACTCCCCATGAATCGGAACACACGGCCCCCAGGGCCCCCCGCCCCCCTCCCTTGCGTCCCTCCCCCTCCCCTTCCTGTCCCCCGGACCCTGGGAATGGAAGACAATGTGGGATGGGGCCCACGCCCCCGTCTGAGGTACAGTCACTGCCCCTTGCCCCCCTGCCCCTGCTCTACCCTTTCTCCCCATCCCAAGCTCTGGGTGGTGTAGTTCAGGGTGGGTGTTTATAGAGGGTCTCCCGGGAGTTGGAGCTGGTAGCCCGGCACCCTGGCCTGGGCTCAGGGTGTCTGTGTGGCGCCCCTCTCCCCCCCACTTGGTGCGATGTGCTGTGCCAGGGCGGGGTATTCCTACAATCGGAGCTGACGTGATAGCCTCAGAGCCCCTTCTTGACAACAGTTGCCCATCCTTGGGGGGAACCGACTGACTACAGGACAGCTGGAGCCAGGGGGCTATTGCTGGTCACAGTCGCTGGTTTTGTGGGTGTGTCTGAGTGTGTGTGAGGGCGGTCAGGTCAACCTTCGGGAGGCTGGGTTGGTGGAGAGGCCAGGGAGTGGTAGACCAGTAAGCCCACACCTGTGGGTTGGCTGCAGGGGCGCTGAAGGCAGCTGGTCGGCGCTGCAGGTGGCCGAGGGGAGTGGGGCTGAGGAAGGGCAAAGCACTGAGACAGGCAGGTGACAGCAGGCACCAGCCTGACAGTTGGATGGAAGCACCGATTGGCCCAGAAGGGGGCCAGAAAGTCCAGGGTGGACAGAGACGGGGAAAGTGGGAAGGTCTCAGGCCGCTGAGCTGGTAATGGGGCCTCTGGCTACAGGCAGCTGGCGGTTGACAGCAGGGAGGCCCAGAGCCAAGATGGAGATCCCGCAACCCGCTCATAAAGGCTGAATGACAGCTTGACAAAGTGATGCCCCTCCCCCCTCCCAACCTGCCCAGGAGACAGCCTTTCAACAGGGAGGGGAAGGGGTGGTGTGCGTGCATATATTGGGAAAGCAGGGAGCCTGGAAAACCTCTCCTCACGGCTTCTACCACGAAGCCCCCATACCTACCTCCAGCCAGAGTGGGAGACAGCAGGGACGGGGGGAGTGGATGTGGGGGTTTGGGGAAGGAAGAGTGCTGCGCCCCCTTCCGCACCCACCCATCCGTCCACACACACCCGCATGCGCGCACATACACGTGCAGGCTCACGCTCACACACACCCACTACACACGCACGATCCAGTTGACAGCCTGAGCTAAGAGAGGGGTGTAGGGTGGCCAGGGGTGAGTCACAATCGGAAAGGTGAACAGTGGCGAGAATGGCTGTAGAAAGATGCATAATTTTGCGTTATCCCTCACAGTGATGGGTTCTCTAAAGATCTTTCCTCCTCCCCTTCCTCTTCCTCTTCCTCTCTTCTTCCTCGGTGGCCGAGAGCTCTTCTGTTTCGTCGAGACCCACAGCGCTTGTTCCCCCTTTTCCTCTCGCTCTCGGCCGCAGGCCCCCCGCAGGGGGAGGCGAGCTGCACCGATTCTCCCTACATCCTCCACCACAGCCAGCCCAGGGCGGAGAGGAGGATCAGGGGCCCTGGGGGCCTCGGGGCCGAGTTCTCCAGGGATCCTGGGCCTGGGGGGAGAAAGAGGATCAGGGGAGGAGGCCCGGAGAGGGGAAACCCCATGTTTGTCTCTCCCAGGAGTCTTGTCTCTGCTTTGGTCTCGGAGGGTCTTGTCTGAGGCTGCCTCCTAGGGAACTTTCTGGGCTTTCACTCGGTGTTTCAGTCTTAGCATCTGTGATCCCTGTTCCCTCTGCCCGCAGACCTCCTCCCGCAGATCTTGGTAGGACTGGCTTCCTCTGACCATTGAGATCTCAGTTCAGATATCAGCCCCTCCAGGAAGCTTTCTCTGATGATCTGATCTAATGCTACCACCCCCAATCCTATTACTTATTTTCTTCGTAGCCCTTATGGATATTTAAAATTATTTTTGCTTATTTACGTGTTTATACATTTGTTTGCTTTTAATTTTATTTGTGTCTACTTGTTTATTGCTGTTCTACTGCTGCTGGACAGCAAGCTCTGCGAGTCCCCAGAGCTCGCCTCTTTTGTGCATTGCTGGGTCCCTAGTACCCAACGCCCAGCCCTAGGTGGGCGCTTAGTGAATATCAGTAGAGGGATAGGCTTCTTGCTCAGTCGCACTGCTTCTGAGTCTCAGCACGCGTCTCTTTCCTAAGTTCGAGGACATTCTCGGGGCGGTCTCGGCATCTCCACCTCCCTGGCCCCGCCCATTCAGCTCCCGCCCCGCCCACGCCGCCCAGGCCCCGCCCCGCCCGCCGCTCAGGGACGCACGCAGGAGCCGCATGGAGGCGCTGGACATTCCCAGCCGGTTGGCTGCGCGACACGTGTAGTTGCCGTAATGCCGGGCGCTCACGTTGGCGAAGAGAAGCATCGAGCGGGTGCGCTCCGTCTGCACCTTCAGGCCCTCGGCCGTGCCACTGCTCAGCCTGCCAGGGACCCGGGTCAGGGACCAGGCCGCAGGACCCGGCCTGGGACCCACTCGAGGCGGAGAGACCAGCCCTGCACCCGCATCCGCGACCATCAGGCTCCCCAATTCCCGATTCCCTGAAGACCCTGCATTCTGTACCCTACCCAGCGATCTCTAGCCTCCTGTTCTAGCTCCCCATGGATCCCGGGCCACTCCCACCGACGCCCCTCTCCAGGCACCACTGCCCCTCAGGGACATTGGACTCTCCCAGTGTGTGACCCCCCCAACCTCTAGGTCTAGGGGTTCCCAGGCCACGCTGGACCCGGGTCCCAAGGGTCCCCTAAAGCTTCTCGGCCAGATCCTCAACAGCAACCCCTGACCCCAGACCTTCCTGAATAGCCGGAGGAGACTGGGCTCCAACATTTATCATCTTGGGACCCCAAATTTTTAGTAAGTCACCCCAGTCTCCCGGTGCCCAGTGGACCCCAAGACCTAGAAACTAGACCCCCAGGTCTCAGGACCCAGTACTCTGCTTCCTCTGCCCCATTCCCTGCAGTCCAAAGAACTGAGGACCCCACCACCACCATCCCCACGGCCCGCCCCGGTGCTGTCCTCACAGTCGGTCATCCTTGTACCACTGGAAATCCGCTGGAGGCACCGCCATGGCTTCGCAGCGCAAGAGGGCGGCCCGGCCTAGGGCCGTTCGGGCGCTGGTCACGTCCGTGATGGTCGGAGGATCTGGAGGGGGACCAGGGTCACCGAATTCTCCTAGCCCAGTGGGGACGAAAAGGCCCCGCCCCCATTCCCCTCCTCCGTCTTTCCCAGGAGTCCAGATCTCCAACCCCCTCCTTAGGCCAGACCCTTTCCTCCCTTAGACCCACCCCACCCCCTTCCTTCTCTCTCATATCCTTCATCCCCAGGGACCCAGGGCCCACCCTTCCTTTGGTGCCCAGTGCCCGGGGGTGGGATGGAGGGGGCCTCACAGTTGACTGTGACCAGCACGCGGCGACTGTCCGGTGCAGAGTTCACCCCGTTGTGAGTCACGCACTCGTATTCTC